ATGTGAAGGCTGGGGCCCGAGATAGTCCCTTTACAACTTGTGCGGTTTCGCCAGCAATCCTTGATAACTTCACATTCCCGTGTTTCTTGCCCCCATGGGGGCGGCAATGTTCGCTTCTTTTTGCATCTACCTGTCGCATTCACACTTCGTGCACCGCAAATGCTGTGGCACCTGCTTTTGGCGAACTTTCACCCGGAGATGAAGGTGTTGGGGATGGAGGCGATGTCGGTGGGTCGGAGGATGATCATGGCGACTTTTGGTTACGCGGCGTGGACGACGAACAGTGCTGCTGCTTCTTCGGTTGCGATGACCATGATGCTGCCGGGTCTTCTGTGTTTGCTGTTTCTACCGTGCGTCCTCCCTCACTACTGCCACGATGATGGCTCCAGGGCTTTGCTGCTAGCATTATTGTCCGTACGACTGCAACAACAATTGCTGGTACTGCAACTCCCATGCTACTGCTACTGCTAGTGCTACTCTTACGGCTGGTGTGGTATGATGACAAGTGGTAGCGACAGTAACTACAGCTATGGCCGTAGTCCTAGCTGTAGCAGAAAAGGAAGCAGTGACAGTAGCAGCAGCAGCCGTTATGAAAGAAATAATGCTGGTGCTTCGAGCAGGCCATTACATACTGTTACAAGACCCTAAACCCTAAACCCTAAACTTGGAACTTGCAGGCCAGAGCTTGCAATGCGCTGCACAAGGCTCGGGCTTGAGGATCCTATGCGGTTTAGGGTTTAGGGTTTAGGGCGGACATTCAGGCGATTGCACAAGTCCTGATGCAAAAAAGGGTTTAGGGCGGCCGAACATGTGGAGTTCTTGAATTTTGGGCGTTTTTGATGGGCCTCCCCGCGTCTAGGTCAAGGGCAGGGCCTCTTGTTCGGACAACGGGAGTCCGGCTCCGAAAGGAGCTATCCAAGAAAGGCATGGAACAGGCATGGGGGTTAAATCCACGATTCCGGAACTCCCCCAAAATAGCTTTCAACGAAGTAGGGGCAAATGATTTTGGATTCCGTTTCACAAGGACCATGGCGATTAGCTCCATATGAGAGGTCTTTTATTGACAAAAACTCCCAACTGTGAGAGCTCCTGAGCAAGGTCAATGAGCTTGGAGGTTTCGCTTCGGTTCGTGACTGCAACATAGGAGTCAGGTTCAGCTTGATGTGGATGCCAGCATAGCAGACCCATGCACCCTCGCAATCTAACATCGGGAAGTTGAAGTGGTGCCGTACTTATTACTGGGTTACTGTTGTGTTTCCGGGGCAGAATGCCACCCAAGAGCCCCATGCTTCGGGCCTTGGCTTCCCTCCTCGCGTCCTTGCTTGTCGGGGCCGAGCCCGAGGCTTTGGGCCTTGAGGATGAGCAGCCGGTGGATTTGGATGACGTGAAGGCATTGAAGAGACACGGTTTCGGGCTCCGGAGGCTTTGGAGGCTTTGGAAAACGCCATCTCACCCCACAGCGGCTTCTGCCCGGCGACTGCGAATCCGAAAGTTTGATCTCGGAGTGCGGAGCTTGATGCAGTACCTACTCTCAACGGTGTGCCCTGCCAGGCACGGGCTGCCGGTGCCCTGGAGAAGGCATTGGGCGTTTCAGAATCCGCTGCGACCTCCAAGGCGGGTCATGTCAGTACTTCGCTGCGCGACTCGGTCTGGCGAGCTTTGAAGCCCCGAAAGCTCAACAACTTCAGGAGGAGACGGCCGAGACCGAGCCAGCCCCGGCACAACCAACCTTGGTTGCTGAAGTGCAGGAGATCACCAGGTGCCCGACCGGGTTTGCGCTCGTGCTGCCATGCATCTCGGACGTGCGCGCGTGCGCCAGGCAAGTGAAGGAAGAGCTGGGCAAATTCCAAGGCGAGGTGTGCGGACAATTGCAGGACACCGCCCTTTGTATTGGGCAGGCTGCTGACCCGTTTATGTTGTGTGCTTGCAGAAATTGTGGCAAAGCCATAAAGGCGATTGTAGATGAGGGCGGCGAGAACCAGCACAAGACAAGCCTCCGGCGGTCATAGCCATTGCATGCAGTTCTGGAAATGTCTGATAGAACCCGGTGAGCGCATGAAGCTGACAAGCCTGGTGCGAGCTGTTTTGGAAGGACCTGAAGCAGCTGTCCAGTGAGGTTCGAAAGGACGTCGAGGACACTGCCTGTGTAGTTGGCCCCGCAGCCCTACTTGAGTACTTGAGCCCTACATAAGCTCAGCAATGGCATGCTGGGGCGTCAGAGCATGTCTCTGAGTCGTTAGTAGTCCAACCAGCGGCTGCTACAAGGATCTCCGGCATCAAGTGGCAGAGGCCAAGCGGGAGGTGTCGGGATCATCTACGTGCCTTGGAAGCATCCTGTGCACAGCAGATGCCCTCAGCCTGAGGAGTAGCGCGCGGCGAGTGCTATGGGAGTTGGTGCTTCACGAGCCTTGCAAAGAACTAAAAGGCCCCCGAGGTCACTCCGAGTTCGAAGCCTGACAGCTTTCGATGCCTAAACCCTAAACCCTAGACCCTAAACCTTAAACCCAAAACCCAACAAGCAAATCGAGAAGTGTACCAAGTGTCAAAGCCCAACAAGGCCTGGGCCCAGCCCCCCGAGGTTTGGTGCTACCACAGTCACCACCATCAAGCCCGAGGCCCGCTCCGGAAGTGTTTGGACTCAGAAAAAAAGGGCTCTACCGAGTCCTCAAGAACGGGGGGTGGAGGGGGGGGGGGGGTGGGGACTTCCATGTTTTAGGAGGTGGGTGTCAGTGTTCCGAAACCGGAAGCCCTCATTCTGGCGAGTCTTTCGCTTGTAGGGGTTGCGGTGTTCTGCAGACGGGATGCAAAAAAGGATGTTTCTATGTACGGATGTGTATATGTGTATATGAGTATATGTACATATGTATCTGCATATTGGTTGCTTGCCGTTTCGAGTCTATCCAAGAGGCACGCTTAAAGGGTCCTAAGCCTTTACTTGCTTTCCGCCACGGCAGAGCGCAGAATCAAGGATGAGGCACCCCCCCCAAATTTCAGTCAAACCCTACAGTGTGACACGCGCAACTGCAGTTCAGGTTTAAGGCTACTTGGAGGTTCATGGGTAGTTATAAGTAGGGTTATAAGTCCCTTAATATGGGTTATAACTATAGTTACCCTAATTATAACCCCACTTATACCCATGAACCTCCAAGTAAGACGCAAGAACCAAGGGAGCGCCCATGCCGAAGGACCCTTTGCAGGACCTCGCTGGTGGGAGCCTTGCAGACCTTGAAAAGAAGATCCGGGAGCGCAACGAGCGCTTCAGGCTCACGGCCAGGGGCTTCAGCTCTTGCAGGCTTTAAGGTTTGGGGTTTGGGGTTTAGTTTCGGTTCCCTGGCTTATCATGCCCGGTATCCACTACGACCGATGGGATGCAAGTAGTTTCTGCAGGGCGGACAAGAATCGTGTAGACCGAGCTTCTCTTGTTTTTGCTGCGAAAGCGGGAAGCTCGTCGCTTGCCGTCGTGCCAGAGTCCTCTGGATGGAATTGGTTGACTGTGGTTCTAGACGGATTCAGGTGAAGCCTGGATAGAACCGGGACTCAGCGAGTGTCACTACATCCTACAGACACATCGAGCCTACCTGACCTGGAGTGTCCGCGTGTGCGCCGCAACACAGCTCGAGAAGTGCACCGAGTCGCAACCCGACTTCTCCCAAATCCTCGGTGCGAGAGGCGCGAGAATGCGGCTATGAGGGAAGAGCTACATGGTCGCAGAGCACCATAGGCCTGGAATTTTTACTCCTACTCGGAAGCCTAAACCCAGACCACATTGGTTGAGCTGTTGTCTGCATGTTGCCATCCGAGAACTCGTTCCAGCGCATGGCCCGCAACTGCCGTTCTTGATGTGATGGTAGGCTGTTGTATGGAAGATGCCAATGATTTCAGTAGCTTACCATTGCAGAAGGCTTTGCCTGCTCACCTGCTCAATTCCGGGACAGTTGCTGCGTCTAAGGAATGCGCGCTTGAAGATGATGGGGCCAAAGGCTGACTGAACGGCTGAGGATGCTTTGTAGGCATGTCGAATTTTGCTCGGGCCTGTCCTGTTCTGGCTCAGCCGTGGAAATCGCACACAGAGGAGCGCAAGGCAAAATCAAACGCCGCAGATCAGACCAAAAGCAGGGGGTGAGAAGGGCAGGCTTGGAGCTCGGATACCGGGGTGCCAAGACCCGATGCCCACATGGCCAAAGGCATGGCAAAAATGAAGGGAACACAGCCCATGCTAGCAACGCCTCTCGCCTTTTCCACTGACAAAGAGACTTGGCCTTGTGACGCATGTGCCATGATCGTTGTGCTTACGTTCGCACCCTTTTCGAGCCCCTACTGGGGACAGTTGGATCCCCGGCACTGAATGCAAAAGACGTCCGTAGCCAGCTGTCTTCCTGTGTTCAGAAGCTACAAGTAGGAGCCAAGGCTTGCTATCTCAGTGCCTGCAGGGACACCTAGGACCTAGGACCTTTCCCCCTCGCTGCAAAAGCATCGAGGAGAGGATGCGGCCGGATGCCACGCAAGATCATGCAAGTAAAAGCATCGGTGTGATTTCTCTCAGGGTACGAAAGGTTCAGGGCCCGGTTAGTTAGAATCGGCTGCGCTCTCTTTGGGCGCAACAGCTTCGCTGCGCTTCCCAACCATGGCTTTCTTTGCCGGCCTTTGTGCTCCGCGATGGAGCAGGAGGCGTGTTTTCTGTAGAAATCATCTGGTTCGTCAATGGTAAGCAGGTATGCTGGCGACGGAGGTGGTAAGTGTCTTCTTGTCATCATGTGCTCGCAAAAGCTGTGGTTTGCACTTGGCGCTCTGATTCCTCGTCATTGAAACTCGCAGAGCGCATCTTGTGCGTCTCACCTCGACTCCCAGTCTGCCTGACGACGACACTGCGGGCGAAAATAGGCACGCGGGGAACCGCTGTGTGCAATGCGCTTTTGCTTTGGAAAGAATCGGGGTGCTAGCATGATCCTAAATACACAGGTGAACATGTGCTCATGGCGGATCTGAAGCCCTGCTGTCAGGGCGCACGCCGTTCAAGCACCTGTTGAGAAACCCTTCGTTGCCGTGAGAAGAGTCAACCGCAGCTCCCGCAAAGCGCGGCTGTGGCAGACAACCGTGGAAGGCTGCAAGGCCAATCTCTTGAACCAATGTGTTCTTCCACTTTTCCGCCTGCGCAGCGCAACTGTACAGAGCCGCCAAATACTGGCGGCAGCCCTTGTCCCTTCGGCCATGCCCCATTTTAACTGTAACTAGAATAAGGAACCCACAACATAGTATAGGTAATTATTTCAGGCCCCTCCATTAAACGAGTCTATGCGAGCCGTGTTTGTAACAGGGACGCCGGCACAGTAATCGTCCGAAACGGCACTTGGAGCCTGGAGCCTTGCTCAGGCCAAGACCGGAGAGCCGCCCAAAGCTGGCGCGCAAGAGCCTTTCTAGAGATGGGGGGTTCCCAAATATAGGGGACCCTAATATAGTACCCCAAATAGTAGGATCCCTATTATAAGGACCCCCAAAACAAGGTACCCCTATTTTCGGAAACCCCAGATCAACTCTAGAGAAAGTCCCAGGAACCCTCAGGAATCATATTAGTAAGTATATAGCCTGCTATAGTACACGCACCCTTAAGGGTCGGCTTTCACAGTGGCAAAGCGGGCTGCTTTTGGCGTCAAAGCCCAGCAGTTGAAGTTTGATGGCCACGAGCCCGACCTGCTTTATCCTTGGCAGGTGGGAGTTTCCGAAAATTAAGGGGTACCTTATTTTGGGGTCCTTGCAATAGGGATCCTACTATTTAGGGTACTATATTGGGGTCCCCTATTTTCTGAAACCCCCAGTTTGGGTCGAAGGCCAGCAGGAATTCGCGTATTTATCCGCTACTTCTCGGCCCGTGGCTTCTGACAGTCATTCGGACATGCAAAGACAATTTCGACGTGAACTGGTTGGAATCAAGCGTAGATGAACGTAGATTTAGTTTCATAGTTCACGAAGTCATGTGTGCAGCATGTGGGAGTGCTTCGAAGAGTGAGCCTCATCAAGTTTCTAAGCATCTCAACGTGGTAGTGTCCTTTGCAGAAGTTCCTTCTACACAATGGCGCTCCTCCCCGAGGTTGGATCTATTGAGTGGTGCGGATCCATTCACGGGTGCTTAGGTCCTAGGTGGCACCCTCACCATCCTGACTCGCATGGGCGCCCAACACGGCCTAGTTAATCCCTGTCCTAATTCCAGCAGGTGTTTGCCGTGGGTGCAACACCTACGCTATCTGTCGCGAGGCCGGTTCAACAGGGCTGAGACTTTAAAGCTTTCCTGAGACACGGATTAGGGCTGAGGGTATGATGGCTGAACTTGCTGGTGTGGTGTTAGCTAGTAGCCATACAGAATGCCCGCATAGGCTCCCCTCCAAGCGCGGGTGGGCAAAGCACGAAGTTCTGGCGCGAGGCAGAGGTGCCTGGTTTTTGCTACTTTCGTTGAGCCATCGTCTCTGAGTCAAGTAGCATGAGGACACGAGTGAGCATGCTTGCACGTCCACAGCCCGCAAACCGAAACACGCATTGAGTGACAGGACCCCATGACATGTTGCCTGCCGTGCAAGACACACAGTCTCGCGCGAGTTGCTGCAGCAAGGTGTGTCGTCTGCGCTTGCGGCTTCCGCAGCGGTTTTGGTATCGGGCGCTGTGGCGAACAGGCAACCTCACTGTAGAGTCCCACCATCACACGGTGCAGGACAGATTCAACGTTTCCCACTGTGTTCTGCTAAATTGTGCTCATGGTGGAGCTGAAAGTGCATGATGCCGGCACGATAAAAGGGGAGGCTCTTGCGAAGAGGTTTGTTCACGAAAGGCTTACAATGCTTGGCCTTGCCAGTAACGGCTTCCATGAATGGCGGATTCCAGGACTTAGTCTGGAATTGAGTCTTGTCTCGGCGCAAGAACCTTAGTTTCCTCGCAGGTTGTGTCTGAGCACACCCCATCCTTGGATTGGGGCTATAGCCGGCAAGCCCTGGCTGTGAAGGTTTTTTGAATTATTGCGATTTGACTCACACTTCACCAACCCATGCCGTTCCGAATCTGCGGAAGCCGAAGCACAATCAATCTAAAACCAAACCTTGGGAAACAGTACATAGATTCCCAAAGCATCCTTGCACACGAGCTTTGCACAGACAGCAAAACCCGATTATGCTCAGGCGGATGGCAGAGACTCGGGCGTGTGCAGTAAGGGTCAGGATCCCGGGAGTTTGTTTCATGTGACCGTTCGACGCTGGTATTCTGACTACAGGCTTTGTGCATCTCTTTGGGGCTTTGGGTCTGCCCACATCAGGGCTTCTCGTGGGAGATTCCTCAGCACGGGTTGGATCTTGCAACAGGCGATTGCGGTTTGGGGTTTAGGATCTCGCAGTCTGGCATGCGACATTTGGCGATCCGCCCCCCGCTTCTGTAGAAGCTCGCTTCTACGGCCTCCGGCCTCGGCGACTCACATTCTTCCACGGCGCCATCGGCCCCAAAATTCATTTCTAGGGTGTATATATGTGTATATTGGAGTAAATCAGAGTGGCGCAGATGCAGATGTAGGAGCTCTGCGGAAGCACTGCTGTATAGGTGGCTGTTTACCGGAAGGGTTCTGCCTAGCCTCTGGTGATTGAGCCGTGGACGATGCCGCACAACCAAGCAACGCGTACAGATTGGTCCCGCAGGGAGGTGGCCTTATCAGCATCTGATCTGGCTTTACAGGGCAATTCTTGGGCCGCGGGTTTTTGGGTGTCTTTGTCTTTTGCAGTCAAGATAGATGGTGTCACGGGCCTGTCCTTGAATAGCAATTCTGGGAGGTTCGATGATTATTACTTGTTACCATCATTACTAATATGATCACGTATCAGTACACTTCCAGTCTACAGTTACATATTATAATTTTCATCATATATTGACTTCAACTCGAGGCTGGGCAGTCTCGCAGGAGCGGCCGTGGTGCCGCACAGGCCGACTGCCTGAATTCTCGTTCCACAGCCTCAGTCTCAGTAGGCTCGAGAATCTGAACCGTCTGCACACTGTGTCACGCCGATCGCAATCTTCACGGACAGACCAACTGCTAAGGCTTGTTAAGCTCTTCTAAGGCTTGCCAGCCTTTGCTAACGCTTAACACGCCTTGCTATCCAGCCAGCAGATGCTGCTGACAAACTCTAGGTGCTATCCCCCCTTACAAAGGGTCCCTCTAAATCATAGTTCAGAACTGCTGCCCGGAGCCTTAGCCAAGAGTATCCTCGTCGGGTAGGATAGGCTGGGCCGGCTGTGCCGTCGACCGGACCCAGAGCTGTGCACAATAAGGAGGGCATCAATACGAAGGACAATGAAACTCATAGAAGTAGTAATCGTACATGAGTTTTTGAGAGTAGTATGAATATTGATACTGACAATGGTAGGAACCCCAGACCTGATCTCCTGCACCACTGCTTGGGTTATCGGGCTAATGGAGTCTCCCGCCAGTTCTTGCCGGATCTCGAATTCCAGTATCTGTGTCGTGCGCTGTTGCGTATGTCTTGGTTCCGTTTATGGAAGTTACTGATGTTACAATTGACAGTACTAGTCTTATTATCCGTATGATGACGATCAGTTTTTCTTGTTCTTCGTAGTCTTATTAGTTCTATTTCTGCTATTATCACGATGATTAAGTTTTGATTATTGTTTTCGTATAATTGTAGTTGTATTTATACTTATATTCGCAGTCTTGCATGAATAATTCTTATCCTTTGCATGTTAGTATTCTTATACACACGTGCGCATACACACACATGCATACAACACCCACGCGCGCACAAGCGTATACATACGTACACACACACACACATATATATATATATACCCTAAACCCTAAACCCTAAACCCTAAACCCTAAACCCTAAACCCTAAACCTAAAATATACATATACATATATATATACACACACACGCACACATACGCGCCCTGGCAGGGCCTCCGAGCCGAAGGCAAAGATCGTGCGAAAGGCTCCCAGGCGATTTCTGCAGGTTTATTGGGTTTGGGTTAGGGCTCAGGGTTTCTGGGGTTTGGGGTTCAGGGATTTTAGGGTGCAAGGTTCAGGGGCCTCTCTTCTGGATGGGTTTAAAGTCCACGTGCCTGAAGGGTCACGGTTTTCCCGCCCCATTTTCCCGTTTGTTGCGGCATGCCGGCAGTGTCCTTACAGACAGGCTTGCCGACTTCGGTCTCAAGTTGGGCGTGCTCGCAAGTGGCACATATATCCTCACTTCAAGCGTGACTGAAACCAGAAGAAAGACTCTGTACCATCACGCTGCTGGATTGTGCCTGGCATCATTTGATGAGTAGCAAGCTTGCGGCGTGTCCAGGCACCCTTGCCATACGGAGCGATGTTCGGCCGCTTGTTCGGGAAGGATGCGAATGAACCAGCCATTCACCAGGTCAAGCTTCTCGACCAGCCCAGCGGGATGTAATCCGGTACTCCGTTAGAGGAAGTGTCAGCTGGCATCAGAACCAAAAGGAGCATCTCGAAGACGAGGCGGTGTTATCCTTGGTCTTTCGGACTCCGCAGCACCGCAGTCCGAGAAGACACAAGAGAACCACAGCTCTGGATCAGGTACTTGATTTTAGGTTTTAGGTTGATTAGCTCGTAAAATCATGAGGATTGTGCGTACTTAGCCTTGGGCATCTCGCCACGAGTGCGATGTGCTACGAGGGACATTGGCCGGGCGAGCTCCAATCAAGCCTGTGTAAAAAAAGGTTTAGGGCCTTTTGGGTTTGGGGTTTGAGGCAGCTCAGCCATCAGCTCACGGACCCAACTGGCAAGCCAGCACTCGGTGTCGGCTCGGCTACAATGCTGAGCTTCTGTCAAGTGTGTTGGCAGCTGATGCTGTGGAAGCAGCTGCGCTTGCAGCCGGTCTCATGGGTTCCGCAAAGATTCATTGTCGAAAATGGTGTTTCTATGCTGAAAGGCTTCTTCTTTGAAGGGACAGCTTGGAGCCGTCTTGTCGCCCACATCATTTTTGCTTTGCTGCCTCAAGCGGTAGTCTTCAGATTTCCGGGGTTCGAAGCCAACATGTTGGGCAGATGGGGCAGCTCTTCCGCCAGGCACCGAAATCCCCTTACGAGGAGCAGGCCGCGCCAAGCATGTACTGTAGACTTATTTTTTCATGGGAGACATGTGCAGAGAAGCATGCCTGGGACCTTCTTTGTTTTTTGTGCGTGCACCGTGCTCTTGCTAGGTTGACGTGCAGTGATCGGACTTGTATGTTAGCGTAGCGAATTCTGACCAATGGATTGGGGCAGGATCCTATGGAGCTGATGAAGCAGCTGCCGTCGACTCAGCATTGTCATGTAGGTTCAGGGACTAGTGATATTATGCCGACTTTCTGATGCAGGAAGCTTGACCTTCCTCCGTCCCCTGCCGTATCTTTGCGAAGCCTGACCCTTCGTACTTTCTCACTCCGATTTTTCCTGAAGCGGTTTCACGGTTTCAGCAGTTCCACTCGCTGTAGATAGGGTTGCACCCTTTCCTGGCTCTGCTCGCCACTTCCGCTGAGCCTGTGTGTCTGCATGCTCCTCTGCATGGTACTTAAATACGAACTTACTGGGTAGCTACAGATTCGTGCCTCCCAAGTCCTAAATTCTCGACCACTTGAAAACTGAGACTTTTGCGTACACCCAAATTCTTGAGCAACTGAAACGGCCTTCTGCTCATTGCTCATGTGATCCTTGCAGGATGGGCGGGGACTTTTCCACGCCTCCAGGCGGGTCGGGGTTTTGTTCATTTCTCGATAGATAGATAGAAGGATAGATAGATAGACGGATATTACACATGATAATCTATTAGTATACGTATATCATTACATACATATGTATATATATATATATAAATAAATAAATAAATATATGTATAAAGTGCTACAGAAGTATACAGTGTCATATATCATGATAAGTAACATATATTACCACATATTGTTTGTATGCTTGAAGATATCTTCAACTGCTTCTGGGGACAAGGTGTGCGCCACCTTTCTGGCTAGTACTGCCTCGACAGCTGACGTGAATGTCTCCAGACCACTGCTGCTCTTGCCGTAGTAGTGAGTTGAGTTCTGCATGTGAGGAGCTGGTGAGCCTGGTGCTATGAGAGCAGTTGTGCGCTGTTGTAGCTTTTGCACTGCTTGCTGCCTTTAAACTGCGTTTGTGGCATAGTTGCTGCGCCTGACCTTGCTAGCTGCCTTCTGTTTCATCCTGACTGGAGCGACTCTGAGTCACTTCAGGTAGGTCGAGAGGGACATGATGCCTGCGATGCGGTATCAGCGTGCTGATGTTGCCATGTGGGAGCCAAAATATCTTCGAGCATGGAGTTCTCCAACAGCCCGCTCTTTGACAGGCGGTGCTGGCCAGGTCGACTGCCCAGCAGATTGCTGGGGCTTTGCTTCGGGTGTAATGCTCGGGGTTTAGGGTTTAGGGTGGCTTCTCTCGCCGGGAGCTGCCGTCGCCGTGAAGCAGCGGCAGTTCCGGGCGAGAGAAGCCTGCTGCAAACGGGTTCAGGGTGGGCATGAGCAAGCGACTTTACAACACCACAGTGGGCATCGCGATGATGGTGATGCTGATTATGATGATGATTATCTTGTCACCCCACTTCGGTATGAGTGTTTAGTCTTGGTGTGAGTTAGTAACTCCCTAGCAGTGTGTTTGCATTGCCGTCTGTCTCTCTGGGTGTCTGTCTACTCGTTTCTTAGCATTCGTTGCTATTTGCAATTGCTCTTGCTCTTGCTGTCTAACTTGTCGATGGTGGTGAAGTGAGGCTCATTCGGGCTTGAGACTTAACGCGCCAGAGACAGAAGGTCCCCATATAGACAAGAATGCAGGTTGCTTGCACTCCAGCAACTGAGGCGGGTATGGAGAGCCCTGTCCTCAGCCAGAGTGTGGTCTTTGCTTTCTTGAGCTGTCTTTGGAAGAGGTTTGGCAAGACTTGGCTCAAGGCTCTCCTTATACGAGTGTGTAAACACTTGCGCTATGGCCGAGCCTGCAGAGTTGGACGACCTTGCGCGGGTGCGGCAGGAGCGTGCCGCGGCTTGGAGGGAGCGTGCAGCGAATGCAGAGCCTGCAACGCAGGAACCACCAAGTCAGCCAGAGGCGGCAGAGCCCCCGACGGAGCCACAGCCCGCCACAGTGGCAGCGGACGAAGCAGAACCAGTAGGGCAGGCAAGCCAAGCACCAGATGGTACGGCGCCCTGCTGCCGAATCTGCTTCGAGACAGCGGAAACAGCTGAGACCGGGCGTCTCTTTAGCCCGTGCAAGTGCACGGGGAGCATGCGCTTCGTGCATGTCTCATGTCTGAACAGCTGGCGCGCAGCCTCTTGCAACGCACGGTCCTATTATCGGTGTGACGCATGCCACTACGAGTACCGCCTGCAGCGGCTTTGGTTGGCGGACGTGCTTCTAGCTCCCAGCATGCAGCTGTCTCTTACCATTTGTGTTTTCCTTATCGGGGCCTTGGTGGGAGGCCTGCTTTGCCACCTGCTGGCACCTTGGCTGGTCGATTGGGCCCTGGATCACCTTCGACTTTCGGCGTCTGTGCGATTCTTTTTTTCAGAGGAGAAGGCACAGGGCAACCCGGCTTGCTGGCAGGGCGGCTACACTTACAGGCTCTGCTGTGGCAGAGGCCACCCCGGCAACCCACAGTGCTGGGATGATTTTCACAGCTTCGACAGCTGTTGCGAGAGCCCTTCTCAGATGGTTCTATGGTTGCAGGCGCTCTTAGTGCGACCTCTGCGAGTTCTGCTGTGTGGAGGTGGGCATGAAACCTGTTGACTTGGAGCGCATCCGCCCATCCCTGTTTGTAAATGCAGGTGAACTGTAAGCAACCACTACTGCTGCTGCTACTGTTGTTACCGCTACTGTTCTGCAGTCAGTTTGATACGAACGGCCGTGAGCAAATCTCATGGTGTTGACAGCTGCTGCAACGACGGTGACGACTCCATCTCAAAGATTGCTCCTGCTGCAAGCAATGCGAAGGAATGTGCCACTGCTTGGGTGCTACAAAGTAGCATTGCTGTCCTGTGGCGGTCCACAACTATTTTGACAGTGATGCTAGTCCCCCCAAACGCCGAAGTCCTAAATCCCTGCCTGCCTTGTGCGAGTTGCGACAGTCGAAACCCTAAAGGGGCATTTTGGCTCAAGCCCTTTCAGCATCAAGCTGTACGATTCCTTCTCTTCGCTGCAACTTCGTCGCCATGGCTGCAGTCTTCCCGGCCAATCAGGTGATCGTGGTCGGCGGCGGCCTGGCAGGCATGTCCGCCGCCAACACCGTGGTGGAGCTTGGAGGCCGCACCATTCTGTTGGACAAGTCCTCCTTCTGCGGAGGGAACAGCACGAAGGCCACCAGTGGCATCAACGGTGCTGGGACCAAGACGCAGAAAGGAAAGTCCATCCCGGACACAGCGGAAATCTTCATTGCCGACACGCTGAAAGGCGGCGCGAAGAAGCCGGAGCTTGCCAAGGTGCTGTGCGCCAACAGCGCTGCGGATGTTGACTGGCTCGTGGACAAGTTCGACCTCGATCTCTCCCTCGTCGCGCGCCTGGGAGGGCACTCCCAGCCCCGCACGCACCGAGGCAAGGAGCGCTTCCCAGGAATGACCATCACCTATGCGTTGATCCAGATGCTGGAGAAGGTTGCCGAGAAAACCAACCGAGCTCGCATCGTGACGAAGGCGGAGGTGTACAAGCTCCTCGTCAATGCCGGAACTGTGGTTGGCTGCGAGTACAAGAAGGCCGGCAAGACCGTCAAGGAGTTCGGCCCGATGGTCCTAGCCTCCGGCGGTTTCGGCGCCGACTTCGGCGCCGACTCCCTCTTGGCCACGTACCGGCCAGACTTGCTCCACCTCCCCACCACCAACGGCGAGCACTGCACCGGTGATGCCATCAAGATGGGAGAGGCCATCGGTGCAGCCACTATTGACCTCGAGTGGGTCCAGGTGCACCCAACCGGTCTGGTGAAGCCGGACGATCCCGATGCCAAGGTGAAGTTCTTGGCCGCAGAGGCCCTCCGAGGTGTTGGAGGCATCGTCCTGGATGCCGAGGGCAACCGCTTCTGCAACGAGTTGGGCCGACGCGACTATGTCACTGGAGAGATGTGGAAGAACAAGCCGCCCTTCCGCCTGTGTTTGAACAAGGCTGCAGCCGATGAGATCATCTGGCACGCCAAGCACTACACCGGCCGTGGTGTCATGAAGTTCTACGCCTCCGGCGAGGACTTGGCAAAGGACATGGGCGTCCCTCTGCAGAGGATTGTGGATGCCCACCAGAAGCACTTCGAGGCGGCAAAGAAGCAGGAGAAGGACCCTGAAAATGGGCCATTTCCGGCCTACCCATCCGGCAAGACTTGGGACGAGCCCAGCGGCAAGACGGGCAGCGGCAAGAAGTTCTTCCACAACATCATCGATGGCTCGAAGGTGCCTACCGAACCCTTCTACGTGGCGATCATCACTCCCGTGATCCACTACTGCATGGGTGGGCTCGAGTGCACCGTGGACGCCGAGTGCATTGATAAGAAGTCGGGCAAGGTCATTCCTGGACTTTACGTTGCTGGCGAGGCGGCTGGTGGCATCCACGGCAACAACCGCCTGGGTGGCAATTCTTTGCTGGACTGCGTCGTGTTTGGCCGAGTTGCTGGCAAGGCCGCATGCAAGTTCACCTTCGGTGCTGGCGAGAAGTTCAAGCCTTGCCCTCCGCCGGGTGAGCTGAAGGATTTGTGCAAGTGAGGGCGCCGAGTTTCATTTTAACGACAGCCTCCACCAGGTGGTTATTTTTGGTTGAAAGCTGTGCAGTCGTTCCGCATGTAGCTCTGTGTCGTTGCGTGTTTGGTGGCTGGAAGGAAAGCACAGACTGTGTTTCTGGCACCGAACCATCCTCGCCTGCATTGCCCGAGTTGCGCGAGTCAAAACCAAACCAATAGGGCCTTAGGGGCTTAGGGCTCTCCGTCAGTATGTACTTCCACGCAGTCGGAAAGAGATGTCAGAACAAAAAACCAAACCCTCAGCCTTGCTAGGTGGGAGGCAAACAAAAAGCTCCCCCATAGGCCCTGAACCTTGCAGCTGAAATCCTAAACTCCCAGTAGTGTTTAGTCAAAGTGCTTCTGGACTGAGAGACCTCGTCTGGCGGAGTCCAAGTTGCGAGAGCGTAGACCCCACACCCTGAACCCCTGGTGATTCCTGGGAGGAATCCTAAACCCTAAACCCTAAACCCTAAACCCTAAACCCTGAACCCCTGGGAGGAATGGGCCTGGCCGTGGTGGGCTTTGCCCTGTACCTTCGCAGGCAGTGGAGCGAAGCTTGGCGCCACGAAGGCTCGGGACAGCACGAAGAAGAAGATCACCAACTTCTCAACTTCTACACATGTGTATATATATATATATATGCATACATACGCACATATACATAACCTACATACATACATACATGTGACATGTGGGTATATACATATATGTATGTATGTATGTATGTATGTATGTATGTATGTATGTATGTATGTATGTATGTATGTAGGTATGTCTGTCTGTATGTATGTATGTATGTATGTATGTATGTATGTATGTATTGTTGTATGTACGAGTGTATGAGTGTATGTATGAGTGTATGATTGTATGTATGAGTGTATGAGTGTATGAGTGTATGTTGATTGTATGTATGAGTTCATGTATGAGTGTATGTATGTACGTATGTA